CATCTTCTTTCTTCTGACTCTTTCTCTTCTATCATCTTCTCTCTTCCACTCTTCTCTTCTCTCTGCCTCTTCCCCATCTCTGCTTTTCATCTGTCCATATTGTCGGAAGTTTGACTTCTAAACTTCCTTCGATAATAACCATTATTAGCAGCATATTAACAAGGTCAAGGGTTCCAAGGTCAAGGCCTTTTCTTTCTTCTCCAGGCCGCTTCTCGGGGCCTCTAAAAAGCACCGAGCTCGACACGATGTTTACAGGCTGCGCTGCTCTGTTGCTCTGATTTTTCAAGCGAAAAGATAAGGGTTGGGAAAATCATAGTAATAATATAAGTATTGATATCAGTCATCAGTATTAGTATCTTTATTATTGTTATACTGTTACTATGACCTTTATTTTCCCAAAATCAATAGTAATAATAGTAGCAATGAATAGTAATGACCAATACATAACAATCCAACCCTCAACCCTAAATCTTTGCCAGGAGTACCTTGTGCTTCCTTCCTTCCTGCACTAGCAAGCCATGCACATGCCGAGTTGGGCGCGATAGATCTTGAAGGCGACTGAACACTGCACCATTCTTCAGCAGCTGTCACATCTGACTTTGACCGCGCCTCTTGATGTGAAAGCCCTGCGTGTGAAGACATAGCCCAGCCTCCATGAGTTGCTCAACAAACCGCTGTCGTTGCCTTTCAAACTCATCGAGGCGCTGACGTTGTGAGCACGGCAGAGAACTCTGCGAGCAAAGCACCAATAACCCAGCTGCTGCCAGATGCCTGGACCACTGGAATGATCTGCTCATGATCTGTTCCTATCTGTTCCTATCTGTTCATTGCGCATATCTGTTAGCCGGGGACTCTCAGATTTCACCAGACGCACAGGGTATCATTCCATAGCAGCCTCCCAAAACATGTCGACATGTGAAATCCTACTAAAACCATCTAAAACACTGGTACAGTAAATTACGCCATTACGCTTCTATATTTCTTCGGGCTTACTATAACTATTAGATATCATAAGATATTATCAGTATACAATAAAGAAGTTTCAAGGATCTGCTCGCTGGCCCCCAATCCCTTGAAAAATCGCCTCATCACATCCACCTAGCAGAACCAGTGACCAGTGGCTGCCGCCCTTTTCTGGTGGAAACAAAGAAATGTATTATCCATTGTGACACATTGTGACACATTGTGACACATTGTGACACATTGTGACACATTGTGACACATTGTGACACATTGTGACACATTGTGACATATTGTGACATATTGTGACATATTGTGACACACTGTGGCACTGGGGCTCAAAGTTTAGACTTACAATTTCACTACAGTCATCTTGAAGTGAAATAAGTAAAGGATTTGTTTGGACGAAATCTGGAATGAGAAACGTGCAATTGAGACCTGTCAGGCATGACCTGTCACATTGTCAGCCGTCTCAGTACCTCCATCCACATTCATGTCATTGCTCAACATCCCATGGCCAATGGCCCAAGGGGGAAGGGCGCATGATAACTCTGGCTGCTCTTGCTCAGCTTTGCTCCACTTCATCGTGTCTTGCCACAACAAATGGCCAAGCTTTGCTGAATTGTCACGAAAGGACTGAGGCACACAACTGTACAAATGAACCCTTTTCTATATTTTTCTCCTCTTGCCTACGATATCGGTTTGTTCAAGAATGGCGCATCCACAAATGTTATAAATTTTGATGATTCATCATGATTTGCTGTATTAAACTTGCCGTTTTCAGGTGTCCCACGGTGTCCCCAATCTCCGCACAAACCATCTCAGGATTTCCTCCGACCCGTCCTCGTTTTGAAAAGCTGCGCTTATGTTTCGGACAGGCGTTCCCGCAAACAGGGACATGAGCACGAAGGACAGGACATGACAGGACAGAAAACAACCACAGAACCACATTTATTGTATTTATTTGGAAAAAATGAAAAAAGGTGTTCGAAATTCCTGCGATCTGCTGGCATTTCTCCCACTGGCCCATTCACTTTCTGCTGCGGGGTTCAGCTTCCCTACCCTGGGCATCAGCAGCACCAGTCACCCTTTTTGGTTCGGCGGATGCGCACGATGTATCAAGCCATTGGCTTCGCCAGAGCGACTATGTCGGTGGCTCGAGTTCATTCAAGTTGAAACCCCCAAGGCCAAAGCAAAGGGCCTTTCAAGTGGTGGGCATGTCCGCATTTGATGAATTTTGTATAATTTTTGGGCGCCCTATGATTCCGTTTATTTTTGAGACAAATCCTGCTGGTACTGTACCACCTCTATTTTTGCACTAGAATCCATCCAATCACAGGCCATGCAAAATTCATGTTTCATCATTTTACCTTCTGTTTCGACAAGATGGGTGTCAACCTGTAGCTGCTGTAGCTGCTGTAGCTGCTGTAGCTGCTGTAGCTGCTGTAGCTGCTGTAGCTGTACAAGCTCCAAAAAAAAAACGTCAGAACATCTGCAGCCTAAAGCTGGCACGACGTCCAACGTTCGAAGCCTTGACCATCACATCAGCCTCGTGGCAACGGAGATCAAGCACCACCCAACAACCATCCAACCAGCCAAATGGGAAAATCATCTATAAATGAAGGTTGTACTGGGACCAGCCAACCAGCCAACCAACCCACTACTTCTGCCTTCTCAAGATCTACTTCTCCGGTTTCTCCGGTCAGCTCTTGCCTTGCCATGATGGGATTGGCATGAATAACAGACTGCAGAGCCGATGAAATGAAGCTAGCACCAAGTAAGAAAGCAAAGCAACTACTCCTGGCAAGTCCAAGTGGTGCTTAATAATGTGTAAATATGTGTAATATGTTTCCAGAGATTTTTGTGGCTTAAAACAAACTGTCTCAACATTCACTCAGCTTCTTCCACCATTTTGCCGCTCAACAGCCACAACTTGGAACATCCTTTCGTCGCCTGTTTCTCAGCGCTTCAACTTCTTCGTGCAGCCTCGGTTTCTGCACCAATAGTAGGTGTAACAAATAACAACAAATAGCAATAACAGTAATACCCATAACACTGATGTCACAATACCAATAACAAATAACAATTGTGAAACATAACAAATAGATACAAATAGCCAGAATATAACAATGATGATAGTAGGACTAATAGGACTAATACAAATACAGCGCAAGTATGCGCAAGTACTGTATAAGAAAGTACGATGGGCTCGGCTCCAATCCCAACTACATCTTGGGGACATCAAATCCTTAAGAGTTTGAGGGACCCTCACTTAAAGCGGCTAAATTCTTGAGTCATTCTTGCGGATTATAGGTTCTATTTCAATTCTCGCTCTCTCGGAAGACTGAGCCATGTATTGCAGTGGTATATTTCCGTTATTCACAGCCGTTGCCGCGAGGGTGGCTCCAGCATCATGTAAATGACAATGGTATATCACCAATAAATGTGTGGACCTCTGGGAATGATGAAAATCGACCATGGGGACATGTGACCCCACGTGAGTATCGCGACTTTAACTGGGTCATTTGCTACCCGTGCACAAAATATGATTTTTGATGATTTTTGATCGCCATCCAGCACAGCCAAGGCACGCCACTCGGTTTCGGGTCTGAGCCTTTTCAGAACGATATTCCAACAACACCCTGGGCGCGCAATGCAGATCGGGAAAGAGTGGAGCACCATGGAATTCCGCCCCAAAAAGTCAATGGTGTATCGGTGAATCGCCATCCCAAAATTGGTTACGATTTGCTGGCATCCATGCGATTCACGGCTATCCATGGCTATCCCCCAACTCAGAAAATCTCGAAAGCACATCAACAGCTGGGACTCGGACTCTGCTTTCCGGAAGAACTCTACAAACTCATCAAATTCCGTGCTTCCACTGCCATCCTCAGTGAACGAGCACCTTTTGATACCGGTCATCTCTAGAGTAAGCTGGTAAACCCACCACTTTGTGGTAAAATTCATCCACAAATGAGAAATTTCGCCATGTTGGATTCTATGAGGGTTAAGGAAAAAAACAACCACCACGCCTTGTCAACCTCTTTGAGGATGCGCAGGATTTTCTTGACCATCGCCTGCTGATCCCATAGATATCGGATGATAAAAAGGTGCCCATGGTTCCTTTTTACTTCAGATTTCGTGTCAACATCCGGTTCCTCAGGCAATGTTAAACATGTTAAACACCTTGAGTTTTCACCTGTGGACAACTCCAGCCTTTCGCTTGGCTTCTTGAAAAACGTTTTCATCATTTGTCTGTGGGACGTGCAGCCCTGCGGTAAACCTCAGTAGTGCTGGCCACCTATTGAGACATGGATCACAGATAGCTCCAGGTCTGGGGAGCTGGCACTTCCACCACACCAGCCAACTCCTTGACGCACCAACGATCACCCATGCTTTGAGGCTGAAAAACAAGGACATACCATGAGAATCCATGCGATACTGACCTGAAATCGGGACTTGAGCCATCAACTTTTAGGCACCGCCATTCAAGTGTTTCCAAACAGAACTTCTCTGGGCAAAGTGCGAATAACTCTTAGAGGTCCTTTATGAGCGTCCCCGTACACAAACACGCTTCTCGCAAATTTCAAGGCGACTCCAAAACGGTCAAATTGATTTTATAGAGTGGGTATCCAATCTTCTAACGCGCCTTTGGCAAAGTACTTTGGGCCGCAAGGTCTCTGTTTGTTTCACCACACTCTCCCCATCTCCCTGCCGGATGAATTCCTTGTCTTGAAACATGGACGCCAGAAACTTTCGATGCGAAATGGCGTCGGGCCTCGGCACCCGGGAATCATCCAAAAGCGCCACAGGAAACGGACCAAGTCCCTTGCTCGGCAAGACGTTCGAAGATGGTTTGCAGGGTCTTCATGCTGTGTTTGGCGTCCTTAGCATATGAGCATCGACCAGCGCTGAGGCTCAAAGCAAAGGACCGCTGACTCTGGAGAGATTCTTCTGCCATCAAGATTATTATGTATATGTATATAATTATATATATATACACGCATATATTATCTAAGAATCATCAGAATTCATGAATCCTCTTAAACCCTCGGGACAAAAACATGTTTGTTCCAGGCAAACAATAAGCTATGACGCGCGTTTCCACCAGAAACGTCGAGGGCGGAAATGGAGTTCCATGTTTCGTCAACAAAAATGGAGGTTTGGGGATATGATCCACTTTTTCCAATTTGGGTGTATCTGAAAATGGGGTATACCCCCGTCCTTAAGAGGGAAAATGATGATAAATTACATATATGATGATAAGCCGAGAAGCCATCAAATTTGGGAGAAACCCTATGTTCAGAGAAACCGATAAGTCAATTTAGCATCGTCTTCCCAAATACCAGGGACAAAAAAAAAACGGCCACCAGTTCTTATGCGATTCCAACTCACGACATCCTCAGACACCCCGAGATAGCGCTGGCTCTAAACAACCACCAGCTTTCAAACGTTTCCATAAATTTACTGGTGCTTAGCAGGGAATGAGGGAATGATCCATAATCACTAGTAATAATCATCCCAGCAACCCCCATTGCCATCCATTCCCTACGTTTAGCACCAGTAAGTAAATTTACTTCACTCAAACTCAGTGGTTCATAGTGACCCTGGCGTGTCTTCATCGACAGTGTGCCCCACCTTCTGCGTTCGATGCGACTGTCTAGTGGGAGCTCCTGTCATCTCACAGCAGAACTTTTTGTGCCTCGGGCCACATAAAAAGGTCATCCCCAAAAAGGGTTCCGGGAAATTCCAAAAATGTGAAAGGGAAAAAAAGAGGATATACCATGATATAGCAACAATCATATCCCACAATAATTCAGAAATTCCGTGAGCAATTTCATGGAAATATGGAGATATTGTGGTAGATAACCAGTATCAATCCACGCGGACTGAGATCTTGCGGACTCTGAGCTCGGAACTGCGGCGTCTCGGGCCTAGGACATCATTAATCGTTAAGGATGATCCCCATTGAACCCTTCGCAGATCCTACAAATATAGCCCCAGGGCTGACCATGACTCAGCTGCCATTCTTAACAACTGAGATTTGAAGCAAATCCGGGTCCTTTCTTTGCAAAAACTAGAGAAGCACCAAGCCTCACATGCCCCTGAGCCCCTGAAGAGGAACGCAGAAGTCAAGTTGAGAAGTGCTGCAGTGACCACGATTCAAGTCACACTGTCTTCAAAAAACTGGACCCAAAAAAATCCCCATGTTCCTCATGAGCCTAGTAACTTCTAGGGGTAGTATCGCCCCAGATCGAGATAGATACACCCAAATCCTACAGCCATGGAAAGATTGCTGGAGCCATCCCAAGTCTTACCATGCCGAAGAGACAAAGGTATGGTGTTCCGCAGGGACTTCTCAGCATACCTTGCCATGGCTACGGCAGACCTTCACTCATGGGTTGAGGATCTAACTTGGGGGGGTCAACTGTTAGGGCATGGCAGGGCTGTGTGTGCCACCATCATCGCTGATGGCTTCAATGGAAATGGTTTATATATACATGTGTGTATGTTTATATATATATAATATATATATATATAATTATATTTACCTAAAATGGGGGGTACCCGCAAATCATCCTTTTGTATAGGATGTTCCATAATAAACCATCCATTTTTGGGCACCCCCATTTTAGGAAACCTCCTCCACCGGGTCACGTGAGCCACTGGCGCATCTCATCTTTGCGTAAGGACCTCATCACGAAGTCGGCCATGTTGAGGTGTGTGGCAGTGAGTGGCCGCTAGGGGGATAATCTATTGAACATATATTGAACATGTATATCATACGTAGGTAAAACATCCAGGAAATGTAATTCAACATAAGGATTGATGATGATCGTGTGATTGTGATCAAATATGACTACTGATAATGATAATTATGTAATTTTGATTAAATACAGACGGTTATGAATATGATTAAACATGATTTAATCCTTATTAATGATACTTGACTGTGTTTTAGTGTAATTATGTTATGGTGATTAATGATGAATGACTATTGTATTAAAATGTATTTAAATATCAAATTATGGTTGATTGTCATTAATTACAATTAGTATCAATGAGTTATGATTAAAGGGAACCCTATGAAAAAAGGCTGTGGTTTAAGTCTACCCAGATGGATTTGAAAACATGGGAAACCCAGATGGTCACCTGGCCAGACTTCCCAGCGAAACTGCGGCCATTCACAACCAATGCAGAGTGTAAATTGTTGAGATTCGTCAAGCTTCACTAAGCTTCACTGAGATACCAAAAAAAGATGTTCATCTTGCAGTTTTCACAAGGGGTGATGGTGATGTTGCTATTGTTGTATTCTTAGGGGACAGGATTACCAAGATTCCAGGTCCCAATGATAGCAACCAAGTCGCTGCTTGATTGTCTCCAGTTGTCCAAGTGCAGGTAACCTGTTGGGCTCAATGGTGTGGGATCAGCCCACGTACAAGTCGGGAAAAAAAAGTGAAATTACCAACCAGCTTTGAGGTGGTTGGAGAAATCTAATGCCAATCCTTCAGATTTGCTGCGGTTTTCGCGCGAATCTTTGTCGACGCTCACGCCAAACTATCAAACATATCCAGAAGGAACTGCGCAACGTGAACATTTTGAGATGCTCAATCTACATCAGGCTGTTCATTTGCAGAGAAGGTTTGTTTTCACTGCGCATCGACAAAATAAGATCTCTGCAAGGGTCAAGCATGGTGACCCCAAAGTCTGCTGGAATCTGCTTCCGACAAACCTGGACATGGCCTCCCTGAGCTGTCATGACCATCAGCTGTTCTTGCGTAGTTTTTGGCTTCAATAGACCAACCCGCAAACCCTGTTCGCATAGCCACATACAAGTAGCCATCCGTAGCCGCTTTTTCCGTGGCTGTGTTCAACCCGCAGCCTCTTTGTCTGGGGCATCAGTTGCGTCGCTGCGTGAAGCGGCAAATCCACCCCGCTTGAAGGAGCCGGCCTTTGTCCTCGCTCATCTTTCCTTTCGATGTCTCTTCCAGGTTTGCCAACACAGCTTCCTCACTGGCCTGCAAGCGGACTCGAAGGAACCCCACCAAACCCTGGTATTCTGAAGCTACGCTCTTCCCTCGCCGCAAAAGCCAGGTGCAGTACTGTGGCTGCTGTGCCAAACACTGCTCATATGTCAAACCTTTGCACTTGCCCTTCAAAATCTTCAAAACACTGGTAGCAAAGCAACGAAAGCAACGGCTCTCTGCAAGACCCGGCAGATGGCGACAGATCATCTCCTTGAGCCACTGACCCATCGATGCAGGATGTTCATCACAAATTGTCACCCACATTGTCACATTCACAAGTAATCCCTTCCTAATATTTTTTTAGATCTAAATGGTCCCAAATGTGTGTATATAAATTCCCTACTAAACCTTGGTTTCAGGGGGCTGTTAGCGGGATGGGATTTCTATGACTATTGCATGTAGTCCCATCAGTCAAAAGCCTACCTTGGAAGTGGACCTATAAAATTTGAGCTTGTTAAGACGTGCAGGGTCCAGCCAGTCATTCCATGTTTGGGGCTGGAAATGTCACATGAGAATGATGTGTGTAATGTGTGTATATATACATATATAATACTTTTGTATATATACAGGATTATATTGGCATATATACATAAGTATATCAGTGTATGCAGTATATGTACATACGCACACAGAACAGAGTCAACAAACAGATATGGACACTGGACACCACGTGTGCATCAGCCCAGTCGCTCCCTGTTTTCGCGCACCGTTTCTCTGGGATCCTCAGAGCCGTTCCATGCCTTGTCACAATGGGGATATCGTTGGGCACCAATGGGGATTCAATGGGAACATGATGTAACCCGACAATATGACTGTGGGTTTGAATCCAACCGTGTAGCCGCATAGTAATGACATTCACCTTTCTTTGGGTGTGAATTTGCACTGAAATTCCAGCGGATGGCATGGACCCATTGGCTTTCCCCAAGACCCTATAGCACCCCTCTAAGTATCTCTACATCAAAAAAACCGACCACTAGTAGAAAGTGAATTCACTTCATGTCCAACTGCAAATCGCAGTTTAGATGTGGATCGGTTCTTTTGGACTGTTTTGCGATGGTTTTGGGAAAATCCCAAGCATTGTATCATCCTCCTGGGGGTTGGCACATGGATTGCGAAGCAGGTCTGATGCTCGACCATCGATTGGGAGCGAAACCTCGGATCGAATGCCATTAGGCCAAGGCCACTGAAAGACATGAGTCGTTGGGAATCATCCCAAATAGGCTGGAAAATCAAAGATTTTTTTTTTAATGTATGTGTGTGTGTGAGAAACGTATGTGAAACCCACCTGAACCGGCTGGCTCCGAACATCCCCCTGAAAACAGCGCAAGCCTGAGAGGATCCGTGGGGACTCCGGGTACGAGGAGAGGATGTCCTGGGAATCACACAGCCACCCGCCACAGGACGATTTTGCACCACAAAATGCGTGGTTTGTGTTTTCAAGATGTTATCGGATATCGGATACCTCAACGGATAGCCCATATTGTAAGGCCATTGCTTATTGAATGGGAGCATATTATGATTTTCCACAGCGGAGACGGATGGTTCTTGGGGGTTCCAGATTTTGAAACACCCTACCAAGATGTAGCTCGGCTGGCGGCATTGCTGATGCTTGCTCGTGGATTCATCCTGCGCAGCTGCCACTGCCAAACAAGATGATGGTACCGACCAGGGGACCCAGTGGCAAACGCTGAGGAACCATGAAGAATGCAGACCTTTGGCAAACGTGACCTAGCAGCAAAATGGACATTCATAAATTCAAAAAACCAAAACTATCGCAGTGTCAATCGGTCCTGGAAACCTGTTCGCAATTTGCGTTACAATGGCGCTTTAAAGTTTCAGCTGCGCAAATAAAGTCTCAGGCAATGCATGATTACAGGTATCTCATCTTTAAGCCCCAGAACCCTTCATGGTAGGTCCGGCTTCCAAAGTCAAAACAGTTCCCCAAACAGTGTGGCCACAATTGGGGTGGCGCGGTGCGAATTTTGAGATCGCTTGGCAACCCTCTCGACACTTTGGGCCTGTCAGATCGCTCTTGGTGTGGCGGTACTCAGGTCGATAATCAAAGAGATCTTGTGCAGAGATCTTGACAAGGAGGATTTGCTGCGAGCTTGCGCAGGGATCTTGCCACAGAGACCTCTCATAGAGATCTTGCACAGAGACCTCTTGTAGAGATCTTGTACAGAGATCTTGCCAAGAGGTCTCTTACAGAGATCTTGCCAACAGAGCTCTTATATATAGAGAGAGCTTCTACAGAGATCTCGTAAAGAGATCTTGCCAAGAGACCTCTTATACAGATCTTGTATAGAGATCTTGCCAGGAGACCTCTTATAGAGATCTTGTACAGAGACATTGCATAGAGATCTGCTGCAGAGGTCTTGCCAGGGGGTCTCTTACATAGCTCTTGCCAAGAGACCTCTTATACGGAGCTTGTACAAAGATCTATTTAAGAGACCTTGCCAAGAGACCTGTGAAAGGGAGCTTGCACAGAGATCTTGCCAAGAGACATCTTGTAGAGATCTTCTACAGAGACATGGTGAAGAGAACAGAGAGCTTGCTCAGAGATCTCTTGTAGAGAGCTTGAACAGAGATCTTACTTTGAGATCTCTTACAGAGCTCTTCTGTGGAGATCTCTTATAGAATCCTTGTACAAATAGGCATTTTCAATAGCTGCCATAGCTATGACTGCTGCTTCAAAACCGCCAAAACCGCCAGGCAGCCCCACCGAAATTCCGCCAACTCGATGTGCGCCAGCTTGGCAAGGGCGGCACATGGCGCCATGACGTGCAGGTACGATGCACGTGGTGGTCTGTCCCAAAGGAATGGTCCAATGGTTCAAAAAAGCTAAAAATTGAAGGTGATACATCTAATTTTGCTTGCTGAAATTGAGAGAATGTTTCCATCCCTCCCAGAATTGGTTCTGCGGAAAAACTGAAACGGGAAATCGAGGGTAATGAAATTCGTATTTTCTGTATGTAGATTGATTTTCTCTGACTTTTTGAAGATAGATAATCCTTTGAGGGTTTCTGGTGCAACTGAGGTCTGGCAGCCTGGTCTCTCCATTTTTATGGCGCGGCCGAAGGAAGCGACATCTGAAGATAAATGCTCCAAATGGCTACACGGCTACACATTCATCATGCATGTTATAACTATCATATGCTATCACCTTTTTCTCCTGACAAATTGTTGACTCGTTATTTCCTCTCTAACTGAGATTTGCTCTGGAGTTGTTGGTTTAAGGTTTGCTACAGTCCCCGACAGTCCCCTTAATGCCAAAGTGATTCCCCACCAGATTCTCACAACTATGGTTTGTCTTTAAAAAATGATACAGTACCCCAAAATCTCATCGCTGAGAACACCTTTTGTCGCCTTTCCTCAATGGTCATGAAAGAGTTGCCGATAATCCCCATTTCCGGACAAACTCATATTCATAATGTTGGTTAGCTATATATTCCCCTTGATATCCCCATGATATCAATATCCCATAAGGTTGTTTGAAAAATCGATGTACCATGTGAAAGAACGCCAGGAAGTCATAGCAGCCGCACCTGCATCCGTTTTCCACAACTCTTGGGATCCAACTGAAACAGTTGAAGGTAGCTGCAAAGCTATAAAGCTTCAACCAAACGACATGAAACTAATGATTATCTAATGTAGGGTTGCTATGGTTTATTATGTTTATTCTTATTGACTTGATCCAACACTTTCTCGCAAGGACTCGCCGCACAGCGGTTCTGGATTTAAAAATTTTGCAGACAATCCGTGACTTTGGCGAATGTTGCAGTCGCCAACAGCTGTTACTTGGGCAACAGGTGGACCTCGAATTCAGCGATTGACGCCAGCAGGGATCCATGGCAAAGACTGGTTGGAGCAACGGAATGCAACGGCAATCAGATTGATATGGGGGTTCTTAAAATAGGGGATCCCCAAAACCACGGGTTTTGATAAACTCCACATAGAGCAAACTTCCATGTTGATCATGCCTTGCCCAAAGGCCGAGAACTCCATTTCAACAGCGTGGCTTGGACAAACTGGACGACGTCTTTTTCACGTGCCCACTTTGATGAATCTACAGGGCAGAGCGTCCATCAACACAAATACATCCCAACAAGAACAATCGTATCTTTACCTAAAAACACGTGAATTCTTGGGTTAATGATGGGTTATGTCCCCGCAAGTTGATTCATGTTGATTACGCGTGGATTCTTCGATGAGTCGCATCTATCTTCGCACATTCCATTGCCCCGCAGCGCACTTTCGCACTTTCACTGCCGCCATGCCGCCTGCTGCGTTTCTGGTCACCGCCTGCGGAAGGCCGGTACAAATCACAGCCACGTCGGAGAGTTTCGAGTTTTGCACAACCAAAATTAGACATTGCCTGAGTTCATCTCCAAATCAGAGTGTTGGAGAAGCAAAGCCAAACCGACCCTCTACCCTCTGGTAATCTTACCTGGCAAAAAAAAACCTTTTGGAGACCATTTTCCCATTAAAGAATAAAATTAATATATAAGGTTTTCCGATTTCAATATCCGACCCAGCCCTGACAACCCTGACAATGATCTGACAACATCCCAGAGGTCCTTGATCTCAACCGCCAGGTAAATCCTGCGCTGTTGGTTATGTCATTTCTGCGGCCAGCATTCATTGTTAGCTACTCAATTTGATTTTAAGCCACAACCCAAAATTGGTGAAGTTGGCTACAATCCAAGAAAGTTTGGTTCACTTAGGCATCCCCCAACAACACAGTTTCTCATACCACAGGTCCTCCCTGGGTGGCATCTCAGCAAAATGTTTTCCGCAATGCGGGCAGCACTTAGCCACTGCGATGGGTACCTGGTCAAACCATAGGAACACCGGATGGGCGTTGGAAAAGGTTTCAAGGTCAGTTTTCTGAGCGAACTATGGCTGGAGTTCGAAGTAGTCTATCTATATATATTTATATATATTATATGTATTATTCTATACTACACATACATACAATCATATACAATCATAATCAATCATATACATACATATTGTATTCGATAAATGATCAAGCTGTTGGAAGCCACCTGACCTCGAAGGATCGTTCTGCTAGACCCTCCATCTCCGGCAGAAATATGTCCCCCCATTTAGAGATGTTCAATTGCCATGTTTCATTACCAGAAGGTTTTTTAAACAGTGCTCAAAGTTCATGACAAAGGGTCAATGTCATCACGAAATTGTGCACATTCTCTATAACCCGGTATCAAATATCATCTTTGTATCTATCTATCTATCTATCTATCATTTATAAATATAAAATATATCCGCCGACCAAGGCCGAGGCAAGGGGAGCAAGCTAGGAAATAAAGGCCGTTTCCTGCCCCAACTAGCCGCAAAGTTGCGAGATGGCAGGATTGACGGCATGAAAGCTAGGAGAAGCGCCTAAAGAGCAGGAGGAGGAGAAGAAGAAGAAGAACATCAACATCAACATCAACATCATCAACAACAACAACAACCACAACCACAACCAACAACAACCAACAACCACAACCACAACAACCACAACAACAACCACAACAACCACAACCACAACCACAACCACAACCACAACCAACCACAACCAACCACAACCAACCACAACCAACAACAACCAACAACAACCAACCACAACCACAACCACAACCACAACCACAACCACAACCACAACCAACCACAACCAACCACAACCAACCACAACCAACAACAACCAACAACCACAACCACAACCAACCACAACCAACCACAACCAACAACAACCAACAACAACCAACCACAACCACAACCACAACCACAACCACAACCACAACCAACCACAACCAACCACAACCAACCAACCAACAACCAACCACAACCAACCACAACCAAACCACAACCAACCACAACCAACCACAACCAACCACAACCAACCACAACCAACCACAACCAACCACAACCAACCACAACCAACCACAAACCAACCACAACCAACCACAACCAACCACAACCAACCAACAACCAACCAACCACAACCAACCACAAAACCACAACCACAACCAACCACAACCAACCACAACCAACCACAACCAACCACAACCAACCACAACCAACCACAACCAACCACAACCAACCACCAAACCAACCACAACCAACCACAACCAACCACAACCAACCACAACCAACCACAACCAACCACAACCAACCACAACCAACCACAACCAACCACAACCAACCACAACCAACCACAACCAACCACAACCAACCACAACCAACCACAACCAACCACAACCAACCACAACCAACCACAACCAACCACAACCAACCACAACCAACCACAACCAACCACAACCAACCACAACCAACCACAACCAACCACAACCAACCACAACCAACCACAACCAACCACAACCAACCACAACCAACCACAACCAACCACAACCAACCAACCAACCAACCAACCACAACCAACCACAACCAACCACAACCAACCACAACCAACCACAACCAACCACAACCAACCACAACCAACCACAACCAACAACCAACCACAACCACCACAACAACCAACAACAACAACAACGACAACGACAACGACAACGACAACGACAACGACAACAACAACAACAACAACAACAACAACAACAACAACAACAACAACAACAACAACAACAACAACAACAACCACAACCACAACCACAACCACAACCACAACCAACAACGACAACAGCAACAACAGCAACAACAGCAACAGCAACCAACATGTGCCACAACATTCCATCTTGTGCTGCAACCTGTTTGCTACCTGCCCAAAGAGGCCACGGACGCCTCCATCCCAACGGGCATCGCCGGTGCGCAAAGCTCTACAATGATACTGGTAATATGTAATAATCTATGTTTCTATATGTTTGCTGCGCAGCACGGCCAAGGGATTGCAGAAGCTAAATGGGGTCACCGTCACATAGACCGGAATCACGTAGTCATTCTGGTCAGGCCCGTCCTGGCGTGGAACAGCCAAGGACAACTCGACTGTGGGTCGGAAAATGGGAGCCCTCAAAATGGCATGTGAATACAAAAATATGAGAAAAAGTATTACTGTAGAAAATAACGAGTGATCAATGGATTTAGGGTGTTCCCAAAAATCTTCAGACAAAGCCCTGTTCTTCCACAACTTGCCCCACCTTAACGGCTGGGTTCATCCCCAGTGGGCCGATGGCAGAAGGGACCTGGGAAGGCTGTGCTGATCCTTATGCTGATGCAGCTACTGATGATGCAGCTAACTATGCAGCTACTCGTCTTATGTTCAGGGACTATCAAGCCGCTATGAGAGGATGTGTTACACTATCCTGAAAATCCCATCGCCCTCATATTCTTCATATCCCCCACTCTCTCAACCCTCATGGAACAGCTGCATCCAGGTCACGCTGCACGGCAGCGATTGCAGTGTCAAGGCATCCGGTAGTCCCTCGCGAAAAACCAGCAGCCACAGGCTGGTGGGGTATTGGCATTGGGCCATTGGGGCATCGCCACAAATCAGCACAGATGGCCTTGATTTCCAGTAGACTCAGTAAACCCCCCCAAAACCTCACCATGTCGCTGGGTTCCCAGACGAAGGTCATCAATGGGCCCTCGGGGGCAACCATTGATGTAATATAAAGCCAACCATGAACAGCAGCTCATTTGTCAATTTGGATCCATTTGGGAGTTTGAATCTGAAAAAGAATGGTAGATTTGTTAATGTTTGACTTTACCACATAATATCTGGATGGTCAAGATCCTTCCTATGTGCTGTTGCTGTATCCTCTTGGAGTCGCAACTTGGATGGGGCACATGAGTTGTTTACCGTCAGTCAAACATGGATGGTCCAAGTCCAAGACCTTAAAAAAGTGGTTGAGGATTCCATTTACCGTCCAGTAATCAAACATGGCTAGTTGGGAAATCCCCAAACTTCATGGAGGTTTATAGCTGGGAAATCATGTACGAATTGTGGATGTTCCAGCAAGCCATCTTTGATTGCCAGAGGGTACCCTCTGGTAATTTAACATAGCTATTGAAAATGGTGATTTATAGTGGATTTGTCCATTGAAAATGGTGATTTTCCATAGCTATGTTAGTTTACCAGAGGGTATTCTCAATTAAAGTTGCTCTTCATCAAAGCCTTTCAGGTGGTGACACTGTAGTCTTGCGTTCAATCCCGATTCATCCGCATATCCTCATGACTCGGGCTTTTCTGAAATAATGTGGCATCCCCAAGTCACCAAGTCACCATGGCTTGAAAAATACTACCCTCTGGTAAACGCTGTTTACATAACGGAAAATCACCATGTTCAATGGAAAAATCCACTATTTCTATCACCATTTTCAATAGCTATGTTAGTCATTACCAGAGGGTAAGTCATGGCAGTCATGGTCTCATCATGGAGGACTTGGGGGTATCCCCACGACCAATGACCCAATCAACGGTGCCCAATGGCACCGCAGGAGAGCTGGGAGGCGACCTGGGAGCTCATGGGACTTACCGGGTGAAAGGATGTGACCCTCCGGTAAACTGACATAGCTATGGAAAATCACCAAGATTAATAGGTAAATCAACTATAGATGGGCCATTTATAGTTGATTTACCTATGAATATTGGTGGTTTTCCATAGCTATGTTAGTTGAACGGAGGGTAACATACTTGAAAAAATGACATAAAATGCACACATGTTGCTGCGTGGTAGCAATCCACTGGGCACCGACGGCGTCTTCGACCACTTCTGCTTCGGTGTAGGCACGTAGCTCATCTGGCCCCCCTCCAGAGGTGACAGTTGGCACAATATTCAACGGTCTGCTTAAAGGAAAAATCTTCGAAATCGTGGTTTTTGCCACCGATTACAGGGGGTCCTGTAGATGTTCCTTTCCAATCCAATATAATCCAATATAATCCAATGAGATATTGTCTAAACTCCAATGGTGTAGACCGATGGCATGAGATTCCGCCAATAACCTTACATCGTGAAGAAGCAAGCACCAGTTTTGATGATGCTACGATCTTCCAAAAGGAGTCATAGGCCACTCAAGCCTCTCTTAGTTTTAATCCTGTAGAATCATGGTTTCCTGATTCCTGTTCCTAATGATCCTAATGGATGATGATATTCCGCAATGTAGTGCTTCGTATAATTCCCCAACCAATCATCAACCAACCGGGGTTTTGAACACGACCGGCGCCATGGCACCCACCTTGAGCTCGCTGTAACTGACCTCGGAACCGCTGTCCATGTCAGCCCACGCTCGCCTTGGTGAAGTGGAATACGCTTCATCAAGTCTGAGGAGGTTGGGGATGGTCTAATTTGATTATATGCCATAAATATCTATATCTACATTAATCATAATATTATATATATATATATTATTATTATTATTAAGTGAATATATATATATTATTATTATATATATATTATTATATATATATATTATTATATATATATATTATTATATATATATATATATATTATAATAATATATTATTAAATATATTATTATATTATTATATAAGACTATAAGACTATATTCTCCGTACTGCAGACTTTGCATTGCTTGTGAGACAATAAATTGTGAGAAAAATCCGCAACATGTAAACAAAAAGGTCTTCACACATGCCATCAATTGGTCAATCACTTTGAAAAGGTGGATATCCTCGGTCCCAGGTCCAAAAGGAGAACGGCAACGCAGAGTGAGCCACTCCAAACGTTCTGAATCAAAAAACTCTGTGCTCGACATAGCTCGACAGTTGTGCTTCCCGCCTCTGTGACGTACTCTGGGGCAGGTCCAATGATGGTATGGAGGACCAGCGATGCTGCAGCGGGGCGGGTCACCCGGTGGATCAAAATCACCTGATACATTCTTTTCAAAAGGACAGATGCGAATCAAGCCAAGTTCGCAAAATCTTGGAGTTATTGATGGCATTCTATGGTATTGACCACGGTTCGTGGGAATTCATCAGAATCCACGGCTCCCAGAAGCGCACGGGCACCTGCGGCTCTGGCCAGGGCGCATTTTGCGGCGTGGTGGTCACGTCTTCATCCTCTGGGATAGGAGGTCCAACCATCCTTGGGTGCAGCATGGTGCAGTAACCTGGGTCGTTTTGCAAACCCAAATGGGTTGAAAAGTATGGACAAAAACCCACAATCCCATGACTCATCCAATTTTCCATTCTTTCAGCAACTTTTCGGGTATCCCCCACTTTCATCATTTTCAGACAATCCCTGACAACCCCAAATATGGCTGGGCCTACCATCGTCCTAAGCCTATACCTAAGCTTCACCCTCCACAACTTCCGACGGGTTCCCGGACCAGGGCCGGGACAACGTGGCAGGCCTCGTTGCTCAGTTCAAGCGATTGGTCTTGGTCCACATCGTCTGAAAATAGGATGCCCCTAAATCCAGTGGTTTATGTGGTTTATCATCAGTTCCCCTCTTAAAATTGCCCGAGGGGTATATCCCATTTTCAGGCACACGCATCTATTGTATGTACCATCCATTCAGGGGCACCAACATGGCACCAACCATGCCTCACCCTAAGCTCACCGAGGCACAGTCGTTGACTGCCAGACAGGTGTAATCCCTGCTCGACGCGGAAACCATGGGCCCGACACGGGAGTGTTTTGGTTGAGAAATGTGTGCCCCCCATCTTTTGATGTGCATAGTTGGAGTATCCCACATTTTGTGGCTGCAGAAGCCAGCTCGTTTATGACCCTCAAATGGTGGGATCAAAACCCCCACGAAGAAAACATGCAATAATGCAAAAATAAGGAAATGTTCATGTATCATAGTGTGATATGCATGGAATGCGTATTCACATCCCACATTTTTTCCCATGAAAAGTTGGCATTTTCCCATGTTGCCCGCCTGCAGGCCAGGTGGAGGCGCTAAGGCTCTGCCACGACCCATGCCGCGGCCCAGGAAGGGGCCCTAAGCGCCGAGGCGTGTGGCCATGACTAGGGCTGGTTGGACTCCCACCCATTGATGTCATTGATGTTGATTTGGGGGATGGTTCATTATTGGCTTTACCACATTACATCATCATCGTCATCATCATCATCATCATCATCATGATCATGATGTAGCAAAATCCACCATTAAATCACCACAATTCCCACGATGACGTGTGTATCTGTGGGGTAGGATTCTCTGGATCTTCGCCAGCCACGCGCCTCGGAGAACCTTCCCATGGGTCGACCTGTGCAGACACGGCCGGGCCCTCAGCGGGTTGGATAACCTGGGGAGCAACAACCGAGCTGGGAGCTGGGAAAATTGATGGAGAATTGATGGAAACTTATGGAAAAATCATAGGAAAAATGATAGGAAAAATGATGGAAAATTATAGATCAAGCTAATAGATGATGGAAATCCAGACCTTGGACTTCCCATCCCTTCGGCCAAGGCCACCTCGACCAAAGCCACGGTTGGCCATTTCAGCACCACCAAGCCCTGGGAAGTCATCCTCATCCTGGCGCTGGGGCCTTGTCGATGGTCATCTGAGAGTTGGAATATTTCATTGAATATACAAATCATGTACAAATCATGTACAAGTACAGCTTTCTCCCCTTACCCGGCAAGAGTTTTGAAGCTGACATTTTGCAGAGTTCAGCAATTGTCTTGTGGTGAAAATCGGTGCTGCTGCGCGCCTCCTCTTCCGCTGGGGTCTCCTGACTGCAGCGGTCATGAGGGATAAGTTGAAGCTCCTTTCCAAAAGGTCCAGAAGACTCCAGAAAGGTCAGATTGCAAGAGCAGAATACTTTACTTCCATCTCAACCACTGTTTCCTTCCAACACCTTCAGAATGGGTTCAGAATCATCCAAATAATCACAGTGGGTCACCCTTCTACAATCTTCTATGTACCATCTACCCCTGTCCTGCGGCACAGGCGGCTGTGGGGCAGCTTTGACCACAGCTTCGGCACGAGGAATTGCCTTCTCATGGACCCATTCTGGTGCTCATGGAGTCTCAAGGGCACAGTCCGGTGAGCTCTGCTCCCCTTGACATACACTCCGGAAAGCCGGCCATGCTTGAGTATCTGTTGAACTGTTTGAACTTCTTCAAAGTTTTAGGTTACTTCAAGGGCAGGGTTGGTGTCGGAAAACGCGAGTCGGAAAATGGAAAAATGGATGTTGGGGTCGGAAAACTGGACATGTTGGTTTCGGAAAACGAACATGTTGATGTCAGCAAACGGGCATGTCGCCCGACGAGAGCATCCAAATTTCGGGTGCTTCAACCCCACGGCGCTGAACCTCTGGCGGCTTCACCTCTTCCGTTTGAATTGGGACTGGACCTGAGGGGTTGCTGCCACCATGGGAATGGGTCGTCTCACCCTGGTACCCTGGCGACTTCTCAAGACCAAATGGACCAAATGTTATTGAGCCATACCCATTTCACTCATTTCAGCTTTTCCCCGAAGGATTTTGAGAGTGGGTGTGGCATTTAGAATCTCAGGATTAAAATGTATGCAAGTTCTCGGTTTTATGCTGTTGACCCTTGAGGGATTTCTTTGCCATAGAATTGATGTGATTTTTCTTACACTTGGGCCTTGCGTGGGCGAAACTCAACCACCAGCCACTCCTGATTTGGCTTCCCACAAGGTGTTGTCTCAGTGGTCTCTGGTGCCTCACCATCCAAGCGACTGATCAGCATGCTTCCGCAGTACCCTTCTAAGGTAAGCATCAAAAACTGACTACAAGTAGCACCAGAAATGCCGCATGATTTCAATTAGGAAACCTGCAAAACTCCCAAAGAACATGGGGATTTCCCAACGAAAATGAAGAGTGGAAAAACTTCAGTCATTGAGAAACCAGCATATCACCCATAATTTCCAGTCTTTGAGTACCCTCATCTGACAACTGCCTTGGGAACGATAGGCTGCTTGGACCTCGGGTTTGGAAGTTCGGAGATAGCGGAAAATATCCGACAAATCTCCAACAATCATGGGATATCAGCAACAAAACTTAGCCAAGAAAGCCTTGGCATGTTGCTGCTGTAAGGACTAACAATGTGTGTGGAAGCTGAGGCATATGTCTCACCGTTTAGCAATGAATGCCTTGAACTATCAGAGAATGTGATGGATTTTGTGTTGAGGGATCGTCTTCAACCAACCAACCTCCAACAATGAGCGGTGGCTCACATCAATATCAGAATTTCGCTCGGTGTTCAGTAATCATGGTGGTTTCATTCTGGAGGGAACCTATGAGGTTACGACAGGCTGCATACATTGGCAGATCAGTCTCAGTTCCGCACATAGCTGCTGGACCCTTCTTGGTGGCAGGCACTGTCACCCCTGCAGCTGCTGCCAAGGCATCCACGTCTTCACCACGAGCCAAAGCCTGACCATTTGGGGTCAATGAAAGTGAGGCCATTGGCCTTGGCTGTGGGACATGACCATGAACTATCAAGAACTTGCATCATTTTGGGGAAATCCAGTGCCTAGCTGTGACCCTTATACACTGGTAGTTGGAGGTAATTCAGAATCAGCCACGATGATCCATGATGCACAATGCTGCAGCAGCAGTGACAAGTGTCCCTAGATGGTCCAGCTGGAGCACTATGTCACTATAGCGCCGCTTCTTTTTCGCCACAGACCCATGCATTGCCACCTGCCAGCGTCGCCACAGCCAACAATGTGACATGGCACTACCCTGGAAGCGTCAATTCTCAACAACTGAGGCTACCCAACGAAGCTGCTGTGCTGCCTAGGCGGAAACTCTGGAAAATGTCAGCAGAGGCTCATCAACGAAGCAGCACAATATCTCCGCAAGACTTGGATAAACTCTAGTGGCGCAGACACATAAATTTACCAATGATTTCTTCATCGTTGCTTCCATGTCACGAGTCTCGGTCAGCAGCTACAGTACATGCTGCCAAGTGACATGGGATTGCCCATTCCCAGCTGCCCAATGCATGGGCCTAGGCAGGTTGACTCCCATATTGTTGACCCCTATCACAGCTGTCACAGCTGTCACAGCTGTCACAGCTGTCACAGCCCCAGGCCACCTAAAAAGAAAGCATGAGCAAGATGAAGAATAAAAAGGTTTGACTATCTTAAACTACCTTCAACTATCTTAATCAAACATCATCAAAGAATTAAAGTATCTGAAACTCGTGTCTCTCACTTTGGGCCCCTAGATGCTCCCATCGCACAAGCACACCAGCCACCAGCCCTGTCATCCAGGCCACAGAAGCCCTGAGGAGTCCTCAGCCCACGCAGAGGCGCCCAAGGTCAAGAGATGAGACCTGAGAGGACCATCCAACGAAAAAACAAAAAAAACAGCATTTCTTAGAGGTAAATCATGGTAAATCATCGAACGAAAATAACAAATGATATATGGCCATGGTCTATGGCTATTGCAAATTTCCGAAGGGTTTAGAGATGGGAAATATTGGAACATCAACCATTTCGAGATTGATCTCCGAGGAAACTGATGACATCTGTAACCAAGACACAGCATGTCCATGCGCCCATTGGCAGCTGCCCAGTGAATGGCTTGACCTTGGGAAGTCATGACTTAGTCGCTTAGTAAATTACACCAACTTCTCGGTATGATTTGAAGTCACCATCAGAACTGAGCATGTCGGCAGATGGTAAGACTGGTAAGACTGGTAAAACATGCCTTGATTTGAAGTTGTTTCATGTTGTTTTTGTCTTTTTCTCCATCAAGGCGGCGCCCCACTTTGGGGCTTTGGGCTTCAAATTTGGGGCACACAATTCTACATCATCTACATCCCCCCGTCAGCTGACACTTTTGTTCAACCAACGACGGGATGCCTGGCGGCCAGCTTGCTGCCTGCTGAAAACCAGCATGATTTTCGCAGCTGTGGCGCAGTTCGTTAGCATTGGGTCCACACTTCATGTACTTTACCCTCGGGAAACTAAGGTGCTAGGCTGCTAGATTATCTACAAAATGTATCATGATGCAAAAACATGAAGATATCCAAAGTTATCTAAATGATAATTTGCTGCATTTGCTTCCCCAAAGGCACACCTTGGATTTCACACTCTGTGCCTCGTTTGGGCCTCAGCCAGCCTTTTTCATTTCTTCGTGTAGGAGATGGAAGAGTTCATGACCTGAGGCAATGATTTGTTTGGCCGCGCATCAAAAACATCAAAAGACCAAGGGAAAAACTCGCCACACAAATATGCTCAACAATTTGGTTTCACAAACGAATCAGGAACCAAAACGAAACATCAAATCGAATCAACTTATGGATTTATCTGAAGGAAGTCGGAAGATAGGGTACCCCAAAGCCCCATGGATTAATATCATCAGTATCCCCTTTAGATGTTTTACAAATCGGTGGCAAATCCCCCATTTTTCAGACCCAACTATCATAACTATCATCTTTTGCTGGTTTGCATGTCCCATACCCTTTGGTAAACTAACATAGCTATGGAAAATCACTAGTTTTAATGGGTAAATCCACTATTTCTATGGCAATTTTCAAGGTATCATATTCCATCAAATCCTCATTCTTCATCCCCATGACATAATCCCATGTCCCTAGTCCTTACAGCTGGTGACTGGTGTGGTTTGTTCATCCGTTCATCCCATCGAATCCAATTTGCAACAGCCCATCTGTTCCCATGAATATCCCATGAATACCCTCCAGTAAACATACAAAAAGCTATTGAAAATGACCATTTAAATAGTGGATTTTCCCATTAAAAATGGTGATTTTCCATAGCTATGTTAAATTACCAGAGGGTATCCCATGAATATCCCATGAAACTGGTGCTATCCCACGAATCCCATCCTGTCAATTCCCTCATGGTTGAGCCACCCACAGTGGCAAAGCCGCGCCAATCCAGGGATGCAAAAAAAGAGTCCCAACCATCCAATTCCATGTTATATCATGTTATATCCCCATTTCCCACGTTGTATCACCTTACATCATATATACAATACAGTACATGGTTAATCAACGGTTAATCCATATCATCAATCCACATCCCATTCATCCCCAAATTCACATTGATCCCCATGAATACCATCATATCCCATTAGATCAATTATCCCAAAAACACAAAAAACAACATTGAAAATCCCTATGTTTTGTCCATCAAATCATGATCCCCGATTGGTCCCTACCTCGTTGCGCTTGGCCACCGCAGAGCTGCACACAGCGAGCTTCCGTGCAGCGCACCTCACGATGCGCCCGGTGGTTTTACGAGTTTCGCAGGGAAAAGGCCTACGAAACAGTCTAGACGTACAATGATTTATGAGGAAATCACCCCAAAAACATGATTTTAGCACCAAGGATCGGGAGTTTCAGCAGCAAGAATGGGGAAATAACCATCAAAATGTCGATGGGGAAAATATGGAAAAATTGTCATTTATGGGGAATGTTGATGGTTCATAGAGTTCTTCATGGATTTAAAATTCATCCTGCTCCCATTGATAATCTCAAATGTTGGCAGCAAAAACTCAGCTACATTGGATATCTATATATATATATATATGATCAGAATAAAAACTGAATGCTTTTTTGGGGTTCGACACAAACCATTCCCAATAGACCTGATGATAACTAGGTTCCAGCAGCTGGATCAACAGGTCGGTGGGGATGCGGATAAAATCATGATACCATCAACTACAATGATCTTCTTGGGTGTTTTAGCTCCGCATAAGATGGCCACCGCAAAAGATGTCATACAATAAATATTTTTGAGAGAGAGAGAGAGAGAGTTGGCTAAACAACATCCTTCAAGTACTACCCGGTTAAAACAATTTTCATATGATTAGCAGTGAAAGCCGTTGACCTGCACATCACTACAGGACTGCCAATGGGTGGAACCAATGCAGCTTCCACGGAGTCACCAGTTTCCAACCTGCCATCACCAAGTGACCAACATCTGCCCAGTAAAGTTTGAAGGAATCTCCTCTAAAACATCTCGGAAGGCACCATCGGCCAGCTCCTCCAACCACAACCTGCGAAGTTGCGATTCTGTGATTCTGTCGGTCGGAGGAAGTGAGAAGATGCACAAAAGGAGAGGCAATAAAATGATTCCTGGTGTCGTGTGTGATCGTAGCAATCATTGTGCTTGTCTTCATCTCATCTCCGTCTTTTCGCGGTTGCTGCTTCTATTCCTCTTTGCAACACACTTCGTCGCCCCCAAGGAAGCCAGCACTGCGTTCCGCCCTTGCAGTTTTATATTTGCCTAAGGGAAAAAACAAACACATCCACAAAAATGGAAAAAAATCAAAATGGCTGGGTCAGGCTGGGTCCCACATGGATCCATTTCTTAACATCTCAGCTCGCCTCACCGCCTCAGGGCTCCAGGATTTAGGGTGCGGCAGCCGCAGCCGGCGCGGCGCTTCGATGACCTGTTTCCTCTCCCGCTCGTAGCCGCAGCTGCAAAGCGACACCTCAAGGCGCCAAGGAGCCGGGCAAATCATTCTCCAAATCCATGGGCGAGGCAATCCATAACTCAGATTGGATGAACAGAGAAGTTACAAACACCACAGCCTTCACCTTTCTCCATTCAGAGCTTGTCTGTGGTCGAAACTCCAATATTCGGGGGGGGTCAGGATCGTCCCATTCTTGATGCAGGTCCCATTGATTGGCCTGGTATAACCTCACATAACGAATCATCGTTTGAAATCAGATCCCCATGCTGCAGATGAAATCCTCAGTTCAGAAATACAGGTGACCTCTTTCTGGCCCAAGAAACACCAGTGCGTAGCGTGGACAAGGTATGCTCCGTGTCTGACACACAGGGCGAGGCCGTGCAAACCACCTCGCAAATCGCAAATCACAGGTGTCACAGGATTTTGGGCAATTCTATGAAGGCCATGGATGTTCATCACCCCCCAAAAAAAGGTTCGATAGTTCCTGACCCATCCACTGATTTGTTAACCTGTGGTCAGATGTCTGCATCACATCATTTGGATAGGAATAATTTTGGATATGTTTCGCAAGTCCCAAAAGATAGAGAAAGCTAAAATCCGACCGAAATAGTGGTAAATTATTGTTCCATCTTACAACTATAGTGGTAGATAGCGGTAAATTGAGGGTTCTATATTATATATATATATATTACTGTATCTTTTTGGGTAGCTATGTATAGTACATACCTATAATAACATGTATAACCATCTCCACTCTCCACTGTCAACCTCTGGGACCCATCTACCAAGGGGCTGCGAGGCGGGCGGCTCTGGGGCGGAGAAAGGATTCGGCTAAGATCTTGGTCCTCGAAGCGAAGCAGCTGGAAATGGGATGGATATGACGCCAACCAAACAGAGAAAAAACTCAACAAATACCTACATATATATCTATATACACATAGTTATATGTATATAGTTATATGTATATAGCTATATGCATATACTTGTATGCATGTAGTTATATGTATATAGTTTTATGTATATAGCTATATGTATATACGTATATGTATAGAGTTAGATGTGTATAGTTATATGATAGTTACGTACGTACGTACGTACGTACGTAGGTAGGTAGGTAGGTAGGTAGGTATGTAGGTATGTAGGTATGTAGGTATGTAGGTATGTAGGTAGGTAGGTAGGTAGGTAGGTAGGTATGTAGGTATGCATGCATGCATGCATGCATGCATGCATGCATGCATGCATGTATGTATGTATATATGGCTGTATGTGTGTGTGCGTGTATGTATGTGTAGGTATACCTAATTTAGGTGTGCGTATATGTATATGTATTCACATACATATTATGCATTGTAGAGCTAGATATACATAGTTGGGATTGGACTTATAATTATCACATTGTCATAATCAAATGATTGGGATTGTATTTGTTGAGACTATATTAATCACTTGATTGGGATTACAATCCACCGATCTTCAACTTGAATCAGGCGGATATATTCCAAACAAGAATCCTAATAAGATCCTAATAATATCAATAATCATCACAATCAAGGATTGAACATCGGATAACAATAGTGCCTTTTAAGGAAATTGCCTAGCTGACAAATGATCTGAAGTCATTGTGCTAAAGGTGGGAGGTTGGCAAAGAACCATAAGAACCACGACAAGTTCTGGATCACCATCCATATGCCAAGTCGCAATGAGGAGGCTCTGAGCACATGCGAAGGAACCGAGTTCTGCGTGGTGAAGTGTCGGATGCACTCCTGTGATTGCGAAATTACCGATCATCCAGGCTGACCAACAGTTAAGTCCTCCCGGAAAAAAATGCACATAACAGTGCAACATAGTGCAACGCGCAGCTTTCATTTAAAAAACATGCCAAAGAAATCAGATAAATAAGGTCCTTCAGCGCGTGCAGGGAAGCGTTGATTTCAGCTCCCTCCTGCTGTCGTTCCTTGGAATGGTACATGGCATCCTTCCGCCTCTCCGTTCCGGCGCAGTCGATCAATAGCAGCTGACCTGGCTGGGGTGAAGCAGTGCCACTGAGATTTTGAGCGATTTTGGACAGCACTGGGCAGCCCAGCCCCTGTGATCCCTGTGGTTTTTGAAGCGAAAAGGCTACCAGGTAGCCATGGTAGCCATGAGCCTCCAGACTGCAGGCGCAGCATACACACTGCATGGCTTCGGGAGCTCACATCATTCGCCTGCCGCACAGATCTGGGAAAATGGCACCGAAGGACTCCATGAATTTTCATGGGAAAGTCATGAAAATTTCAGCATCTGCTCAAATGGATAGAATCAAATAGAATCAGATAGAATCAGATATAGGAATGGATCAAAAAAAAGTTCTGAATAATGATGACATATGATGACGATGTTTTTCGTTGGCGGAATGACCCACCTCAGTGGCCGAGGTGGCACGACAGGCGTGGGCCCGGCGCATCCAGGTGCTCAAGTCCTCCGAAGTGCTGGGAAACATCACCAGGGCGCCATCTGCCAGGTAGGTGCCATCCTTGTTCTCACCTTGGTGGAAAACCCTGTTTTTTTGGCTGGGCAACTGGGAAAATTTTAGGGGAAAGAAACAACCATATTTTCCGCAATGGAAACTATATAAGTTTATCTCCCTTTCTTGAATCTGCCCATGTTTGCTGGATTTCATGATCCCACGGTTCATTACAAAAAAACATCTCCATTCTATGGTCACTTAAATATATGTGTTCACCCCTACATCCACCATGGTTTTCGGGTGGCGTTTAATATTGGGGGGATGGGATTACCAACTGAGCAGTGTTCAAAACCCGTGTTGGCTGATCAGTTCGGGAGGTATACCTAGTAGTTACACTATCCAAATCTATCCAATATCTTGGAAGTTATATGAAGTTATATCTCATTGCTAATCATCCAATATACCCTCTGGTAAATTAACATAGACCCTGGCAGTCATCGGGGTTGGAAGACTAGTTTCCAATTAAAAATATGGGTGATTTTCAGGGTCCACAAGTTTATTTACCAGAGGCTATCAGATCATGTTATATCATGTTATATCATGTTATATCTCATTGCTAATCATCCAATATATCATTGTTATATCATGACACACCATCCAACTGATACAACTGGGTCCATTAAAAATGGGTGATTATGCTCATCATCCCACTGGGTCCAGGAAGACCCAGGTGTCGTCTTTCCGCCGCCAAGCCACGCAGCCGCAGCTCCGGCGCTGGCTCACCTCTGCGGCTGGCCGCCGTCCGTGTGTCCCTGGCCGCAGCGGCGGGCACCTGGGCAGGGTCCTGGTGCTGAGCAGGGTAGGGGGTTGTAAGGGAACAAAACTGGAAAAACGTATGGTATCATATAGTTAGCCTAGGGCAATCCCGTCTTTTTACAGACCGCACCCCCTACAATACAATAGATTTTAAAGCGGTCAATACAAAAAGATGGGATTGCTTTACCTTATAGATAATAACATAATCAACAACAAAATCATAACAAACAAATAAAACGAAAAAAACAAAACAACATAAGCAATACAATAGATTATAAAATAGACTATACCAAAAACCATAACAACAAACCAAAACAAAAGACAATTTCACTTTTATAAAAAGAAGTTTAACTATCATTCTTCTTCAAATTCTCCTCATGCTTCAAAGTGTTTGTGTGCCTCTTGTAATTTTGAGTTTGAATTTCATAATCATCACTTCAAATTTATGGGGATAACCAACATAATTTTCATAATCATTTACTATGAAGATTAAGGGATTAATTACCACAGTCTCCCCCTATAGGGGAAGCCTCAGCCCCCAGCCAATATCTTTCTCAACATATCTCTTTAAATTACCGCAATTACCATGCCCAAACCGCCCTTCATGAACTTGTTGATAACCATGTCTTCTTAACCTCAGTGCGATGTAAATGGCACAGCGATCCAAACTTTTGGGGCGAAATGGAGTGAAAAAGATTTGTGTGGTGTGCGTCCCAGACTTGTTGGTGCCAGTCTTCTCAAGTTTTTGGAAGGGTTTGTCTTTGTATCAGGCATGAATGCACTGAATGTCAAGCTTGCGAAGGCTCACTGGCATGAATGCTCTATTGAAGCAATGTCCTATTCCTACTTGACACCCTGAAACCTTGCTACCTACAGACCTTGTCAATCATAAAAGCATCTGCTAAGAGCACTATTTTGCAAAGTCGCCCTGTTGGCGAAGCAAGCACGTGCTTTGTAAGTCGCCCTGTTGGCGAAGCAAGCACTGCTTTGTAAGTCGCCCTGTTGTGGGCGAAGCAAAGAACTGTTTTGCAAGTCATCATGCGTGCTCGATCTCGCCCACTCATGGGTAAGTGGGGGCGTTCCTGCTCTTCTCATCTCCAGAAGGGGAATCCGCTCTTCTCAGTCTCCTTGCCGAGGTTCTCGGACCGAGGCCAGAAGGGCACTCCGCTCTTCTCAGTCTCCTCCAGGTTCTCCGACCGAGGGAGGAAGGGCACTCCACGCTTCTCAGTCTCAATTGGGAGGCCGCGGGGGATGATGATGCCGCCCTTCTCAGTCTCCTCGAGGTTCTCCGACCGAGGGAGGAAGGGCGCTCCACTCTTCTCAGTCTCAATTGGGAGGCCGCGGGGGATGATGATGCCGCCCTTCTCAGTCTCCTCGAGGTTCTCCGACCGAGGGAGGAAGGGCACTCCACTCTTCTCAGTCTCAATTGGGAGGCCGCGGGGGATGATGATGCCGCCCTTCTCAGTCTCCTCGAGGTTCTCCGACCGAGGGAGGAAGGGCACTCCACTCTTCTCAGTCTCAATTGGGAGGCCGCGGGGGATGATGATGCCGCCCTTCTCAGTCTCCTCGAGGTTCTCCGACCGAGGGAGGAAGGGCACTCCACTCTTCTCAGTCTCAATCGGGAGGCCGCGGCCGATGATGATGCCGCCCTTCTCAGTCTCCTTGCCGGAGTTCTCCTCTGCCATGACGTTGTCGCAGCTCACGCGCAATGCAAGGATGAGGCAAGCGAATACACCGGATTTGAGCGCCATGGCAATGCCGACACCCCTGAGCTAAAAAGCGTCCCTGAGTGGCTTGAGGAAAAACTCGCAAAAACAGCTACGGAAGAACATAAAGATGCTGAAAAATGACACAAGAATCCAAACTCAAACTGAAAGAGCTAATTTCTGTAGCTTTCCATTTGAGAATGTCAAAGGTGCTCAAATTGAAACAAATTCCAAGGTCAAGCTCTCCAAGAACATGTGGCTTCAAACCTCTGAGTGGCATATTCCCAACAGCTGAGCGCCCCGACAACAGGATGAAGAAGAGATTGATGACGAAACCATGGCGGGGCAGAAGGACAAAGGAACATAGAGTAATCCCAGCCAATGACCCAAACGTGCCGAACACAAATTCATGGGGAAAACAAATGAAGGACAAAACACAAAACCCCGAAACCAAAAGAGCACATCAAATCAACCATCTCATGGTTGCATCAAGTAGGCATAAGTATGGGAAAAAATGCTTACAAGGCTTTCTAAAAACACTAAATCTTTAAAAGTTCATGCCTCATCAACAATCTTGGGTAATCAGTTAATTTGTAATATTTTTGGTTCAACTTTTCTGCAACCTCTTGCACAACATAATAACCTTTTAGCCAGTGGGAAGTTCTTTCTTTCTCTGTAATTGCTTTCTTTCTCATTATCTTTACTTTGTCTCCCACCTCTAATGTTGGGTATATTCTTTCTTTCTTTGCCTTTGATGCTACATTCAGCATTGCTCTGAATTCATTTTTATCTTTCCTTGCCTCTTTTGGTGTCATACCTGTAGCGGAATGCTTCATTTTATCATTGTATGTAAGCATTATTTCTAAATTGTAATCAACCCATTGTATGTTTGCCTTACCCTTTTTTTCATCAGCCTCTACTCTTTTAAAAAGCATATCTTTGTATGTGCGTATAAATCTTTCAGCAAATGCTGGGTGTCCTCTAGTCCTGCGTAAGGTTATACCTTCACCTTCCACATAATCTTTAAAGTCTTCACCTGCTATTGCTCTTTCATCATCTGTATAAATCATTTTAGGCTTCTTACCCATTTTCCCTAATGCCTCTTTAGTTGCTTCAAGGACATCTTCACCATTTTTAGTTTTAATTGGAACTACCACCGCAAACTTGCTCAAAACATCAATACACACTAACCCTCTCTGAACTTTTGTTCCTCATCAAAATCATAATACCCCATAAAGAACAAATCAATTTGATAAGTATGATTATTTTTTGGTGCTACAAATGAATTCATCCCTCTTGGCTTTGCTTTCACCTCAACATTTTTCCTAAAGAATTGTTCAACATCTTTCATAGTGATAGTTTTATCTTTCTCTCTGGCATCTTTTAAAGTAGTAGCCTTGCTTCCATATCCGCTTCTATCAAAATAAATATCACTAATAATCTTCTGCTTATTATCAGCCATTATAGAATAAATGATATAATAAAATAATTATATCAATTATTCCTGCTCTTGTTGCTTTAGCCAGTCTTGATGTTTTTTTGTTTGCTCGTGTCTTTTCTTGTGGCATTGTGTATAATATTTTCCACATCCACATAAATGTCTTTCTAATAACTTATCCTTAAACTTTTCATAGTTGTCTTGACTTCTTTGTTTAATGATGTCTGGGTTGTTTTTAGCAAATTCCCTCTTTTTTCTGTTCTGTTCATCTTTTGTTTCATTCCAATTTTGTCTTTTTTGGTTTATGTAATGTTCATAATTGTCTTTTCTCCACTCTTCATTTGTCCTTCCAGAAACAATTTTATTTACGCAATCATTGTTTCTTATATGCTCTCCTTCTTGTCTTAGTAGTTCATTTCTACTCTGACACGGAAAATCTTGTAAAAGTTCAATCTTACAGTTTTCTATACCGTATCTATCAAAAATAATATTAACTCTTCTATTACAATCTGCCTTGCCCTTGGTGTATTGGTAATATTTTTCTTTATGTTTGTAAAATCTCTTGCTCAATGATTGGCACGTTGAACCAATATAGCACATATTATAGCCTATATCCACTACCTTATATATTTGTCCTTTTTCATACCTATTCATCTCCTATATACTATCTATAACCATTTTCTCTTTAAAACCATTTTACATTAATATCTTATTTGAAAAGGCGCAATTACACTGAACACACATTGGGATACAGTTGCTTTTATAATGTGCCAGTTCATTATTCACTCTTTGACAACTAATATTTGATGAAACCTTGCCATCTTCAAAATCTATAACCATTGGCTCATTACAATTCTCACACTGGGTATTCATCATATCCATTAAGAAATCTACATCCACATAGTCATCATCATCTATAGGTCTGTTGTTTTTCTTATCTTGCTCAATGTAGTTTGATATTTTATTTTTGAAATATGTGTCTACTCTTAATCTGCTCAAGTCATTCTCATCAGCATCATATTTATAAAACTTAACTCTATTTAAATCTCTTGCCCTGCTGACAGAAGTCCAATACCAGTTCTTGCTACAATACCATTTGCTCCAGTCATATATCACTATGTCATCATCTACACTACATCCCTGCTTTGAGTGAGTGGTGTAGCAGTAAGCATATATAAAGTGCTTTCTCAATACTTTCAGTTCTATATTTTGCTTCTCATTAGTTGCCACATTTTGTAAAACAACAATATTGCCAACAATGTTTGAAATCCTGACTTTAAAATTTACATTAAATTTTGTCCCTTTATTCTTAACATACTTCCGGCATATTATATATTCACCTATCACATATTCATCTTCTATGCCTTTCATTTTTCTCATTCTGCTACTCACCTCTCTACAAGTCTTGTTAGTATAAGCAATGTTGTTTTCACATATCTCACTGCCATCACTCCACCCAAAGTGCCTTTCAATGACATTAAGTATAGGCTCATTGTTCATAATCATACTCTTAATATCTCTTAACTTTTGTCTATCTTCTTCAGTCTTCAACCTCTTACATTCATATAGCATAATATTATTTTTGAAAATTAAATCTATACAATGGTCGGCATACTTTTCAAAGGGCTGCATTTTTTTGGGGAATTTTTTCCCGTTTTTTTGGGGGGGATTTTTTTTCCCGTTTTTTGGGGTTTGATGGTTTTGATTGGTATTTGCAGCGTTTTGCAGCTAAGCTCTCTGATTTGCATGGTGGTGTTGTTGTTGTTGTTGTGGTTGGATGGATGGATGGATGGATGGATGGATGGTTGGTTGGTTGGTTAGTTGGTTGGTTGGTTGCTTGCTTGCTTGGTTGGTTGGTTGCTTGGTTGGTTGGTTGGTTGTTGGTTGGTTGTGGTTGTTGTTGTGGTTGGTGGTTGTGGTTGTGGTTGTGGTTGTGGTTGTGGTTGTTGTTGTTGTTGTTGGTTGTTGGTTGTTGGTTGTTGGTTGTTGGTTGTTGTTGTTGTTGTTGTTGTTGTCGTTGTTGTTGCCGTTGTTGTTGTTGTTGTTGTTGGTGGTTGTTGTTGTTGTTGTCGTTGTTGTTGCCGTTGTTGTTGTTGTTGTTGGTGGTGGTTGTTGTTGTTGTTGTTGTTGCTGTTGCTGTTGCTGTTGCTGTTGCTGTTGCTGTTGTTGTTGCTGTTGTTGCTGTTGTTGCTGCTGTTGTTGTTGTTGTTGTTGTTGGTGTTGGTGTTGGTGTTGGTGTTGGTGTTGGTGTTGGTGTTGGTGTTGGTGTTGGTGGTGGTGGTGGTGGTGGTGGTGGTGGTGGTTGTTGTTGGTTGTTGTTGTTGTTGTTGGTGGTGGTGGTGGTTGTTGTTGTTGTTGTTGGTTGTTGGTTGTTGGTTGTTGGTTGTTGGGGCTTTAAAATAAAAAGGCGGGAGGGGGGCGCAGCGCCTCCCCCCGCAAAGCGTCACATGGTCATGATACATTCATTCGCAATGTAAGTGGGCCTTATCATCCACCTTTCTGGCGTTGTCACAAGCCGCGGGGGGGGCTTTAAAATAAAAAGGCGGGAGGGGGGCGCGGGGGGAGGGCTGAAGAGGGGCCCTAGCGTCTACTTCAAGATCAGCTAAGGCGTCTTCCCCAATGACAGCACTTGTTTTACTCAGCCTGTTGCCGGTCCGTGCTTGTCTACAGGGTTACTCTATATACCTCTTGAGCCTTGAAGGGCGCATATAAATGTGCTCAATACTCATGCATGTACCTATGTCGGTATTAGGTCGAAACAAAAACACAGGCACAAATTCAAAAGCAATGAGTAGAGCACTACGCCTTGCCGTACCCAATTGGTATTAAGAGTATCTTCCTGACTTCTCTACACAATGGCAAATAGCAAAAGAAACCGGAGTTACGCAGTGGCTTCGAATTGAAAAACACGTGAAAGCAGCGAATGTCCTAAGGACATGTCGAAAAAGAACAGCGGATTCGCTAATTTTTCCAGTAGCGACCAATGGTGCTTCGCGCACGGTCTCTCCACAGGCAAAATGCCTCGCTCTACCGGTGAAAGTTCGAATTGAAAAGTTCGGGTTCGCAAGATTCAGAAATTCAGGTCATACGAAAAACAATTGACCAAATCACGAGATAAACGGAAATAGCGGATCTCCAAAGTTGCTCATTCAAGCAAACAATGGACAGAAATCGAAGTTGGTAATTTTTGGAGTTCGCTCCATTCGGAGTGGTCTGCTCGCCGGATGATTCATGGAGATAAATGTTTATAGTATCTCTATTTACAAGAGTCTCTATTTTACATTAAATTGAAGTTCAGACACTTGTGGCATTATCTCTATCTAAAAGAGTATATGCCATTTGTGTGAAATAAGTTGAACGCACAGAAAAACTGTACACGGCTTCTCATGCTGTGTTATCTTCATTTAAAGAAGTATACACTCACTCATAGCCAAAAGCTTGATCTCCATGGTCTGGACGAAGAAGATGAGGATCCACCCCACTCTGTGTTGCCCTGATACGTCGATGCTTGATCTTCATATGCCTTTCTCTTTTTCTCCTTCTGTCTTTCCTTTCTTGAATCAGCATACTGCTTCTTGTAGGCCTGTTTGTAATGATGTCGTTCATTCCATGACATATCAGAAGGATCAAGATGGATAAGAATTGGATTATGAGCATCGCGATCATTTGGGGCAACCATGAAGATGTTGTGATCACCATGTAAGCAAGTTTCATTTACCTTGAAGTAAAATTCACCCACATAGTTCATGTGATCTTCATCCTCAAAGTCTTCTGGTGTTCCTCACACATCAAACGTGAATGACCCCACT